CACCCCCCCCCCCCCCCCCCCCCCCCCCTTCTACTTCGCGTACTCGGTCGTGGCCTGACCTGTGTTGATGACAAGGCCAAACACGTGTTTGCAAATCCGCCGACTTCACCATTGCGTCACGTTCTTCTGGAAACTCGTACGAACACGCGCTGCTGGCCTCAAAATTACCAAAACCGCTTCACTCCGAAGTCGAGTCATTTTCGAGGGCATCTCTTGAATGCATCAAGTGGATTTATTTTACTCAGGAAAAGATTGAAAATTTCCGAAGAATCCAAATCTACCCCCCTTTTAGAAATCATCGCCACTAAAATCAGAAAAGCCCAGAAACCCGCGAGTTATCTTAATAATGGTGCAACCGTTATTTATTTATTTGTTAAAAGTATTTGGATGCTTGTTCGAGTCAATGGCTCATTGAATAACTTCACCAATTTCCAGGAATTGTCTTGGAATCTGAAAGTAACATAGAAGTGGCTAAACCTTTAGAAGCCGTTGAAGTAGATAATTAGCCAAATGTTCTGAACCGAGGTAAACGTTCTCAACACTGGAGCCACTGTTTTTTTGGAACCAAATCTAGCTGAATCAAGCAAACTTCGCTGACATTGGTAAAATTAAGAATGCTGAGCTCACAGTCGAACGTACGCAAAAACTGCTGTGGCAAACGAATTGCATCAGAAAAATCTAACTGAACAATGATACAAAATTCAACTCTTACGTAATGAAGTTTCTAGACTTCTATAGAGCCTCAGAAGCAGCTGTTTTGTGGAAAAATCAGGTCCTTGAATCGTCGAATCAAAGAAAGGATGTTTGAAGAGAAAATGTTCACGCAATGCTGAACTTCGTTCCTATGGCGCGCTCTCATACTCGTTGTTCAATGTTGGATTCTCGAGGGATTTTGGACGGAACCCCGAAAAGGGGCGTGGGCTTCGGGGTGCTCCGGAGTCGTCGTCACGGGTTCGGAGCGGCGGGTTATGGGTAAACGCGGCGTCGATCACCGGCTTTGCCAGTCACGCAGCTCCGACGCAGGCGAGTGGACTTTCGCCTCGCTGATCGGCTGATGGTTCGCAGGACCGCGCTGAGACGCCGTTCACGACCCGTCAGGGCACCTCAACTGCGACGCGCGTGAAACACGAGGCCGTGTGCAACCAAGCCCAGGCTGGGAATCGAGTCCGGCCCCACGCTGCACGGGTTGGTGGGTCCTCTGGCTGGCACGATGGCGGAAATTTACTTACCTCAGGGGTTCTCTATCTGTGCACTGCGGAGCCCTAGGGGCTTCTCTTGATCTTCGCTGGGGTTCCGCTGATGCTCAAGAAAATTAATGGAAGGAAAGTTGGATTGTGTGTAAAATAAGCAAGTAAGGCTGGCAAAGAAGTGGCCTGTCCATGATTCCAGGTGAAAAAGGATACGAACAGAACTTCGTCCTTCGCAATGACCAAATTAACGCTTACTTGCAAAATATGTGAGATGACCCCGTGGAGTGCCAAAGGCTCCTCTCGAACTTAACTGGGGCTCCGCGCGTGCTAAAGAAAAATGGTGAAATGAAATTTGGATTGAGTTTTCGAAAAAAGAGGAAGACTTGCAAAGGACTAGCCTAGCCTGTCCATAATTCAAGGTGAAACGGATATGTACGAAATGTTGTCATTCTCAACGTTAAAAAGTGAAGATTCTGCAATAGAGCGCCGGAGAAAAATATTTGTGAAAAGGCTCAAAGGACCATAAGGCTTGAGAAAATTCGACATTGAGGGGAATATCTGAAACTAGCATTCCATAAAGAGGGAGAGAGAGAGCGAGAATCTACATGTTGAAGTCGGGGGGGGGGGGTGAATATGAGAAGAATTTGAAAAAAATATCTATGCACAGGTGAAACCTGTCAATTTTCAACAACAAAAGGTTAAAAAAAAACCTCGAAGATTCTTTAGGGTTTCCAAGTTAACTGTGAAGTAAAGCTTGTACCTTTTCTTCCTCTTATGGACGGAACATGATGAAGTACTGCAGTGTTACGTTTCATGAATGAGAAGTGAGCGAGAATAAGTCATAACCAATGTTTATTTTTGTGATCTCGAGTATAGGCCGCACCCGAATTTTGAACATGCAGTATAGTTTATGTGGAAAAGTGTAGTGGGCCACACACAACAAGTTTCTAGTTTATTCCCGGGGACAATGCTGCCTAAAGCACTGACTGAACTTGTCAACTTTCGAAGAAATTGAGTTCCGAAAGTTTCTAAATAGAGGTACAGTATAGAGATGCAATTTTTCTCAAACGGGACAAAGAAGGATAAATTGATAAAACTGTTTTAAAAGCGAAAAGGAATTGATATTTTTCTGGCCGATTTTCTATGATCTCGATTGCACGTAATGTTGCGCAGGCATTTTATTAAAAAAAAACGAATAATGAAACCATACAAGCCTCTCAAACTTCAGTACCAAATTCGCTGGAAGTTATAGATTCTTTTTGTTGACTGACAGAGAGAGATAAAATGGAAGAAGTGTGCAAGTACAGTATTCTGATTCCGGTTTTCTGACATATTTTTGTACGGATGATTGACTGCTAAATTTTGAAACTTGTGTCCAATCTGTGTCCACTTGAAAACAGCTCAAGGGAGGACGAAAATATTCACAAAACTTATGAACAAGCTTCTTACGGAAGGACGCGGAGCATATTTTCCTCGCCATTAATACATACTTGATCATTCGTTCCCTAATCACGATGAAATCCACACATTGAAAGTGTTTATTATTTACTGAGCCATGAGCAAGACTTGAAAAGACTCCGTACTTTCTCTCAATTCCCTATGGAAATACGAGTCACTCGAGTTATAATGCCTCTGAACAGACCCAGTCTCGTCGTTCTCTGGCCAAGATTACACCGCCAGATCTTATCTTCACTCCAACCGATTTTGTCTCGTGAAAGTCTAGGACAAACCAGATGGAATATTTGCATTCTAATGGTCAATTGAGAGAATGGGGAGATTTTGAACTCGTCTCGTGAGTTTCCGTGGGAAATCTGTGTCATTTTCTTTGACACGAGTTTGCTTGGTGTTAATTTGCGACCGACGCTGTATTTTTCAAGTTTTCGATTCTCTGGGTAGCCTGAATGATTTGCCTCGATCAAATGGTGTTTTTCAATGTTCGATGAAAATCTCGTTCTCAAAATGTATTTGTTTTTCATGGGGATTTCCTGAGTTGAACCGTTCCTGAACCTTACTTGATCTATCATCTGGATGCATCTCATTTTGCTCCCCACAACCTCTCAAAAAAGGAAAGAAAGAATATATTGTGAAACTAATCAACAATCTCGTTGGCTTGCAATAAAAATGAAAGGGTCTGCTCTATCCGTAATCCAAGTCAAGAACCAGGAACGCGGCAAGTTTTAACAGTTTGAATACGGTACTTGGCAATATTCGCAAAAGGGACTCCGCAAAAAAAAATCAAAACGGGCTTCGCAGTAGGTATTGATTGGAAAATGGGGGTTGATTGAGCCAAATGGCTGAGAATTTGTAGGCTATGTCAAAGGATTTCTAGAATTCTATTCAAACTTTTTTATGCACGTCTGCAGTTCGTTCATTCTGTGATGCCGTAAAAGCGATAGCTGAAGAAGCCTTAAAGGAACTGCCAGTTCAGAATTTTATTCAAAGAATTAAAAATACAGACAGGCAATTTTCAAATACATGGTTTATTTTGGGGGTTTGAATTTACCCATTGATTATGGATTTGCCTTTGCACATAGCACATTTCCCCGCTACGATTATTCTATTTGAATATTCTAAATGCAACAGGTATTTGTCAGGTCCTTCAAAACTTTTGCTAATACTGTATATAAACAATTCATTTGCGACCAAATTCTATGAACACTGTAACTCCGATTATAACTCCGATTATCTGGGATAATACCTCGGTGCCTACACTTGGATTATCGTAGACCACGGATAATCGTGAATTATTTACCACATCGTTCATCGTGTCGAAAAAATTGAAGGATGACGTAACTTTGAACCAAAAAAATCGTTGTATATTCGAAGTAAATCAGTGAGAATAATTGCGTCAATCAGGACTTCAGGAGTAAATACAATGGGTCAAGTAAAAATAAAATGGCAAGACAAGCTGGTTGGTTTTCCTCCCCTCCAAATTAATCGAAAGTTGGGCATATGGTTAATCGGAATTTTCTGTTGCATAAGACATTCTTTTTGGTCGACTGAGTATAGTTATACGGAAGGTCCAATTTTACAAGTGAGAAGTGAGCAGAACTTTGAAATTCACTCATTCGGTTAAAGTTGTGATCAGAAAAGAAAACGCGCGACGAATGCTCTTCCTACCCTGCAAATTACCTTATGCCTGCATGTGTGAACGAAATATCAGTGTACAACGATCTTCTCCTAAAAACAATGCTTTTTCTGTGTTATAACCTTATAAGTCACTGGGTTGAGACAATACCGGTGACGTCGCTCCACAACGAAATTCAAGGGACCAGAAAAAATTCATTGCAGAGAGAATTTTATCGTAGAGAACTTCTAAAACATGGAGAGAGTCCTTCGAGGGCCAAAAAATCGCTGTGCGGAGAAAATCGTTGTAGGAATTCCACCTGGATTATCTTGTAAAATGATTTAATTACAGTATTTTGATTCCCTGTTTGTTCAGAGAGGGTCTAATCGCACGAAGATGAGTGATCATACAGAACCCTGTGATGCAGTCGGCATTTTTTGTTGTTGGGAAAACGGGAAAAATGCAGTCGGTCTTGAGAAGTTTTAGTTCGCGTTTATCCAACAATTTCTGAATCTGCTTCACAACTTGCGCAGTGCTCTCTACCAAGAAATTCTCCAAGAAAATTTATTTACAGTCTGTAAATAAATTCATTGACGGATTATATGCGAACAAACTATTCGTTCAAGGACTTATTGTTGTTCATGCAACTTCCTTTTAGAGAGTGTCTACTCGAGCGGTTAACAAGTGAGCAAGACACAGCACTTGGGAATTTAAAAGTAAAAAAAAAAGAGAGAGATGAAGCAGTATTTTGCCTTGAGCTGCATTCATGCACCATTTTTATTTACAGCATTTAACTACGTACATGAATATCTTCAATGAAATTCTCCATGCAACACTTTCTTTCCGGTCCCCAAATACTTTCCAGCCGGCTGCATTTCTTTCCTAGTTTCTTTTCGGCCGGTTACATTAAAGGAATTACTGTTCGTTGATTCACTGACGAAGGTTTTGAGGAGGGTTCACTCGTGCTTGAAAAGAAAGTGAGCAGGACCATGTACTACATTCGGGTTGTATGAAAAAAAAAAAAAAAAATGCTGGCAGTCAATTGTACTGAGCTGGTTTCGTTTTCGTTTATCTAACAAATTTCGACTCAGCTCGTCGGTTTCCACATCAAAGTACTCTCTACGATGACATTATTCTTGAAACTTTTTTTTGTGCGGTCCCGAAGTAAAAATACCTTGATGAATAAACAGCTCCTAGGCGACAAAACCCTCGCAGAGAGGGTCCAAGCACTCGTCACCCGTGCATGAAGGAAAGTGAGCATCAGGGCTCCGTACTGCGTTCGGGATTGTGATGAAGAAATAAATAAAACAAAACTGGACAAATGCAGGCAGTCACTTGTCCACCATGCACGAGAGGCTGGTCTCGTTGAGTCATCAAGGATTCAAGGGTGTTACTCATCCGTCGCTACGGGGCCACAGCCACTGGGAAGCGCAGTGTGTGGGCCCGGTAATCGCACGTCCCATCGTCGGCATTTGTTTAGCGGAGGACGGATCACACCACGTTTTGCGGCCTGCGTCGTGCCGCGCGGATCACTGCATGGTTCTTCTCACGCGCCTTTTGCCACTGTGCGGACGCGATGCTAATGAACCTTGAATATTAGTTGCCTATCGGCTCGGGCTCGCAGCGAACCCATTCCGCGGATGGATCGGAACTTCAACAAAAAAAAAACTAATAGTAAAAAGAAAGGAGACTGAAGAGGCACAGAAAAAGGAGGAGCATCCGAACCATAAATATTTACCTGCCGTGGGAAGTGGGGATAGGCAGCATGGACCGACTGTTTCACCTGGATTTTATTTTCCTCCCGTTTTCAATCCGGGTGGCGGAGCATGTTGGCGCTTTAATTCATAAATGTTGTGACTTCAGGATTGCCCTCATGTCAGCGTTTTGAGGAGATATGAATCCTTTCCTGGAAAGATGCAGCGGTTTCTGATAACCGGCCCACCAACGAACAGACTCGCGGAAAACGGAATCGTAGAAAGCCATCTGATTTAATGACGTCTGACAAAAGT